GCTTCTCCCTCTGCCTGTGTCTCTGCCTCTCTCTCTCTCTCTCTGTCATGAATAAATGAATAAAATCTTAAAAAACAACAACAACAAAAAAAAGCAAACTGCTGTCAGGAATAGAAGAAATCAAGTAGGACCCCCAGGTTTTTGACTTAGCTGACTAGTGAAACTTTTGTCTCCAAATTGGATTATAACATCAAGGAGACAGGAGTGTTTTGTATTAGTTTTGGTAAAAGATAATGATTGCTTATAATTAGAGTAATAACAGAAAATGTTAAGAGGAAGGGAAAACATATTTTGGTATATTAAGATACAGTAAGAATAAATATTTTGAGATGTTTTTAGTACTTCATTATTTTTTTTTAATTTTTTAATTTTTATTTATTTTTTATTTTATGATAGTCACAGAGAGAGAGAGAGAGAGGCAGAGACATAGGCAGAGAGAGAAGCAGGCTCCATGCACTGGGAGCCCGACGTGGGATTCAATCCCGGGTCTCCAGGATCGCGCCCTGGGCCAAAGGCAGACGCCAAACCGCTGCGCCACCCAGGGATCCCCTAGTACATCATTATTAAATGGAGAGGATGATGATGATGCTAGCTAAAATAAAAACTTACAAAGGGTAAGATAGAGAAATGGTGTAGAAGTGGTATCTGTAGTTCGTATTTTTCAGTAGGACAAGCATTATCTTCTAGCTGTCTGTAACTAATGACTTCTATTGATGGGTATACAGTCTTTATGTGCTGCGTTTGTTTGTGAAGGGATTCTGTTATCATGCGTTATTGATCAAGTCCCAGAACTGTTGAGTGGTTTTACATTATCATTGTAACTGATGAAAATAAGAGAGTTTAAAAGAGATGAAATCACATAATACTATAGCTGTGAAGGTCTCACTTGGGCGAAGTTGAAGCCTGGGAGAGGAATCCAATGAAGAATGGTATTAATGGCAGATCGTTTTAAAAATAAATAAGGGGCGCCTGGATGGCTCAGTCAGTTGAGCATCTGATTCTTTTTTCTTTTCTTTTCTTTTTTTTTTTTTTAAGATTTTATTTATTTATTCATGAGAGACAGAGAGAGAAAGGCAGAGACACAAGCAGAGGGAGAAGCAGGTTCCATGCAGGGAGCCCGATGTGAGACTCCATCCCGGGACTCCAGGATCACGCCCTGGGCCGAAGGCAGGGGCCAAACTGCTGAGCCATCCAGGGATCCCCTAGCATCCAATTCTTGATTTCGGATCAGGTCATGATCTTAGGGTTGTGAGATCAAGCCCCACGTTGTGCACACTGGGCATGGAGTCTGCTTAAGATTCTCTCTCTCCCTCTTCTTCTGCCCTTCCCCATCCCATTTGCTCTTGCACGTGCATGCTTTCTCATGCTTTCTCAAAATAAATAAAATATTTTTAAAAATAAAATAAATTTAAAAATAAGATTATTAGCTAGCATAGACTACTGGTTACTTTAGTACTTTACCCCCTGTTTCCTTTAGCCTAACCCTTTTTACAAGCATTCTTGCCCCTAAACAATCTATTTTAATATCCAAATATGTAGTAGTCTTGTTTAAGAATAAAAGATAAAAGTGTTAACAGTTCAATAATAAAAAGACAATAGAATTTTTATTTATTTTTTATTTTTAAAGATTGTATTTATTTATTCATGAGAGACACACACAGTCAGAGACACAGGCAGAGGGAGAAGCAGGCTCCACGCAAGGAGCCTGATGTGGGACTCAAACCCGGGAATCCAGGATCACACCCTGAGCCAAAGGCAGATGCTCAACCGCTGAGCCATCCAGGCACAGCATATTTGAAATCATGAAAGTGAGGAAGAGAATGGTGAACTCAAGGAACAGAAAAACTGAAATAAGTTTAGCAGGATAGGAACCAAGAGTCTAAAGAGTAGCCAGTGCTGAAAGTTATGTCATATGATGGTAAGCATTGACCAGATCATGTACTTTCTAAAACCTTTGCGCTTTATCATAAAGCGGAATTGGGGGACGAGTGTGATACATGATGCAACAAGCTTTTTTGTTTTGTTTTGTTTTGTTTTGAAAACATGAGAGACCCACATCGGGCTCCCTGCATGGAACCTGCTTCTCCCTCTGTCTGTGTCTCTGCCTCTCTCTCTCTCTGTGTGTGTATGTCTCTCATGGATAGATAAATAAAATCTTTAGAGGAAAAAAAATATTTTTAGTCTAGGTGGTATTTTAGAGTATTGTGGTATTTTAGAGCTCTTTGTTCCACCACCACACCACCAAAAACAATAGCCAAAAAACCATGGCAACAAAAACAGTGATAATGAAAACACAGCATAATTTATTGATTGCTTATTAGGTACTAGGAGCTATGCTAAGCACTATAAAAACTATCTAAATTTTATATAACAATCTTGCCAGTCATCTTCCATTTATGAAGAAATTGAAGTTTGTATAGTTAAGCAAAGCATTCAGATTTACTCTGGAGCTAGGATTTAAACCAGTTTTTCTTTTCCTACAAATACTGTATTTTTAATCACTATACTATGTTGCCTGCTTATATTCACTCATGGACTATCCCTGATGACCTCTGGGACTTCTTTAGGAGCTTGAAGAAGGGTTGAGGTAGAATGTGGGGCAGTTAGAATGTTGACATTATGATCATGTTATTTGTTTAGTTGTTTTTCTGGTTTCCTTGTATGTGGGGTTGATAGAGGGACTATTGATTTATATTAGAGTCTTAATGTGTACAGAAAGTTTTTGGTCTTGGGCAGCCCTGGTGGCACAGCAGTTTAGCGCCGCCTGCAGCCCAGGGCGTGATCCTGGAGACCTGGGATCGAGTCCCACGTCAGGCTCCTGCATGGAGCCTGCTTCTCCCTCTGCCTGTGCCTCTGCCGCTGTGTGTGTGTGTGTGTGTGTGTGTGTGTGTGTGTGTGTGTGTGTGTGTCTCATGAACAAATAAATAAAAATCTTAAAAAAAAAACCCAAAGTTTTTGGTCTTGATTGAAGAATAGTTATTCTACTTCATACAAATAGCAGCTATAATTACAAAAGAAAATAGGAATTAATTTGCTTTACAGAATCCTATTCAGATTCTCTGAAGCATTTCTGAAAGTCATCCAGATTTTTTGTAAAACTTTCAGTAGGTCCCTGTGAACATTACAAGGTTCTGCCCCTCACCCCCACCTTTTGAAAATACTTTTTCTAAAGTAGGCTCCACACCCAGTATGGGGCTTGAACTCATGACTTCAGGATCAAGTGTCACATGCTCTACTGACCCAGCCAGCCAGGCGCCACTCCTCTTCCTGCCTTCCTGATCACACTGTAACCTCTGGGGTCCCATACTGTCCTGTGTGTATATCTGTCTTAAAGCTTTCTGTATCACATGGAAATTAATTAGTTATTCATATGTCAGTCTTCACATCTAGGCAGTGAGTTTTTAAGAACAAAAATTGAGTCTCCTCTCATTCTTCCATAAGGAAGTTATAACGTTATAAGTTATAAAGTTATAAAACGCTGGTGCCTGACTTGGTACCTAATAAGCAATAAACACCTGCTGGATCCTATTGAACTAAACTGCTAAATGTGAAAATGAAGACTGCCATTATTTATTTTTATTACTTTGGTGTAAAGAAAGAAGAGTCCTGCATTTCTGGCATCCCTCAGGCTACTACTCTCAAGTAATTTTATTTTATTTATTTTTTATTTCTTTAAAGATTTTATTTATTTAATCATGAGAGACACAGAGAGGCAGAGACATAGGCAGAGGGAGAAGCAGGCTGCTTGAAGGGAGCCTGATGTGGGACTCGATCCCAGGACCCCAGGGATCATGACTTGAGCCAAAGGTAGCTGCTCAACCACTGAGCGACTCAGGCGTCCCTCAAGTAATTTTAAAGTGGAGCTGTGACTGTCATTGTGCAGCTGCAAGATTTCATGGACTAACCATTTCCTATTGAATAAAGTCCATATTTCTTAGCTTTCTGTCAGGTTTTCCAGGGTCGGTCCTTTCCCCAACTGAACTTTCTATTCTTCATGTACACTGTGCACTGCTTAAACTGAGTTACTCTTTCCCTCTTTTATATTTCTGTTCTTTTGCTGGTGCTGTGTCTCCTGCATGGCTTTCCCCATGGAATCTGACCCATCCTTCAGAAACCTAGTATAAACGCTGGTTTCTCCAAGTAGTTCTGTCATCTGCTTGCCTGCTACAACCTTCACTGAAAGAAGTCCACTTCTCCCCATCTGAACCCTTACTAGTACTTGAACTGTGGGATAGCATTGCCCTACTAAGTGATAAATTCCTTGAGAGCCTCTGTTTTCCCTGCTGCTTTGCATTAATTATTGCATCAAATATAAATACATTGAGTTAAATACAGAAATCAAATTTTGGTGTTTTAGTTTCAAGGAAACTGGTTAGAGGAATGGATTGATAAAAACTCTTCCTCTGCAGTGGTCTACAAGTAAATGCATTCAATCCAGAAACTAGGTAGGCTTAAACAATGTATTTAGTCCTAGAACTTCAGTTTAGGAGAGAATTTTTTTTTTTAAAGATTCTATTTATTTATTCATGAGAGACACACAGAGAGAGAGGCAGACACAGGCAGAGGGAGAAGCAGGCTCCATGCAGGGAGCCCAATGTGGGACTCGATCCCGGGTCTCCAGGATCACGCCCTGGGCCGAAGGCAGCAGTAAACCGTTGAGCCACTCGGGCTGCCCTAGGAGAGAATTTTTTTTTTTCCAGATTTATATTTATTTTACTTTAGTTATTTTTTAAATTATTTATTTATTTATTTATTTTAGAGAAAGAGAGTGTGTGCAAGCAGGAGGGGCAGAGGGAGAGGGAGAGAGAGAACCTCAAGCAGATTCTGTGCCGAGCTTGGAGCCTGACACAGGGCTGGATCCCATAGCCCGGTGATGACTACCTGAGCTGAAACCAAGAGTCAGATGCTCAACTGACTGAGCCACCCAGGCACCCTCAGATTTATATTTGTTTTAAATGTGGTTTCTATTCTTTGTATTGACTCTCCTCTTCCTTTTCTAGGGCACTGTCTTTAACCTTGAGTCAGAGGACGAAGAATATCCTGGAGTCATTGCAGAGGATAGCAATGACATTTATATCCTGCCCAGTGACAACTCTGGACAAGTCAGTCCCCCAGAGTCTCCTACTGTGACCACTTCTTGGCAGTCGGAGAGCTTACCTGTTTCACTGTCTGCCAGCCAGAGTTGGCATACAGAAAGCCTCCCTGTGTCCCTAGGTCCTGAGTCCTGGCAGCAGATTGCAATGGATCCTGAAGAAGTCAAAAGCTTAGATAGCAACGGGGCTGGAGAGAAAAGTGAGAACAACTCTTCTAATTCTGACATTGTGCATGTGGAGAAAGAAGAAATTCCTGAAGGTGTGGAGGAGGCTGCTGTGGCATCTGTTGTCTTGCCAGCCAAGGAGCTGCGGGAGGCACTCCCCGAAGCACCAGCTCCCTTGCTTCCGCATATCACTGCCACTTCCTTTCTGGAGATGAGGGAGCCTGACATAGAAGAGATGACAGTGGAGAAAGTCAGCCCTGCTACGACTTTGTTGGTGGAACTTGGTGAAGAAGAGAACTTGATGAAAACAAAAGCAGCAACGGTTGAATCTGTTCAGCTGGAAGAGGAAGTGATCCCCATGCTGGAACCCACAGAAACACTGCTGAGTGAAGAGGAGATACATGTGAGGAGAGAGGGTCTTCGGGAAGTCCCCTCCCCTGCTGGAGAAGAGAAGGCCATCCCACTGTTTGAGGGCAAGTCTATACTGCTGTTTGGAGGGGCTGCTGCCATTGCCATCCTGGCAGTGGCAGTTGGAGTAGCACTGGCTCTAAGAAAGAAATAGCAGATTTTTCAAAAGAAGAAGACAAAAAAGATGGAAAATGGAAGATTTTAGCTGTACTGACTGAATTTGAATCACCAACAGCTGATTTGGACATTTGTGGAACAATCTTGGATAATGGGGGGCTTCTGCTTAATAAGGCAGTACATTGATCCACATGATAGGGCTTCAGGTAGAGGGCATCCATGTTTGTCTGATTGTAAGTTCCAAGGGCCTTGGCTAATGCCAAATTCGGAATCCTGCACGTAAAGTACTCCTTCTAGAACAGGGTTTCTCAGCCTTGGCATTAATGACATCATGATTAATTCTTTGTTGTAGGAGGTTGTCCTGTGCACTATAGGTTGGTCAGCAACATCCCTGGCCTCTACCCACTAGATAGCAGTAGCACCCTGCCCTCAGTTGTGACGACCAGAAATGTCTCCTGACATTGCCAAATGTCCCCTGGGGGCAAAATTGTTCCTGTGGAGAGCCCCAGCTTTAGAAGGGAAAGGGTTAACTTAGGAGAACCTAGGACAGAAAGTCCCAGGCAAGAGGGCTTAGCTGCAGGCTCCTCAGCTACTGAGTTGTTCCTGCCCTTGGGATTTCATCTTTCCTGATGAATATGCTGTGTTTCACAGCCATTCCTCTGTGGCTCTTTTTTTCTTGCCCACCTTCTCAGGCCCGTAGTGTGAGGGTGCTCCCCTTCTGTCTCATCTGCCTCTCAGGTACTGATTGCTCCTCTTCACCCCCAGGTTCTTTGTAAAGTCATGTGGGAGAGTGCTTTCTCTGTGTCCACTAAGTCCCTCATGCTTCCTACAGCTCCACCTTGTAAAGATGTTGCCTTCAGTCATCTTTAAAAACATAAATAGAAAAGAAGGCCTAGGGTTCCCTGCCTGTGAATGCAAGGGCAAGTAACTGCTAGGGAGCAGGGGTTTGTCTCATTGTCAAGCAGGGGGATGACTTAGATGGCCTGTTGCGGTCTCTTCTGGCCCTTTTGTGTAATGGCCACGCTACTGAGCTTATGGTGACTTGCTGGCAGCATCTGTTGCTGGATGGTCACTATCTGTAATCTGGCCTCAGTCTTCTTACTAGTCAACTAGCTTTTCTGCAGTCTCTTGCCATGTGATAAGGATTTTCATACTTGGGCTTACAGACCAATTGAATCATAACTCCTATTAAATACAGAAAGTCTTCCAAATACCATTGAAATAAAAAGTAGGAAAAGAGAAGCTTGAATTTCTTGAGACTACCCTCGAGATTCTAGTGCGGCTTTCAGAGTTCAGGAATAAGATTTCTTCCCGAACTCTTTACAGTCCAAATGCCAGAGTGATAAACCAAAATAACTCTAATCAGTAAGTGCTAGTTGAGAATCAGAATAACTTTCTTTCATCTGGCCGATCCCATCCCTAAGAGGGGGTGGGAGTGTGTCTTCTCATGCCTGAGGATCAGTGTGTCACTGTGTGGGACACACATGCTTGACACAGGTCATCTCAGATCTTAGTAAATGTAACAAATTACTTTTTAGATCCTGAAATTTGTAATAAAATTACTTTGCTATCCTGATCACCAAAACTTGATGTTTTATTTTTTTTTATTTTTATTTTTCAATTTATTTTTAAAAATGAAATGTTCTCCCTAAAGCAATACTATTTAAAAGTTGGTCGAGGAAAGGTCTAAAATGTGTTTGGTCAGCTTCATCATGCAGTGTATCTTTATGTTCTGAGTTTTAGTGTCTTAGGGAGTGATATTTAAAGGGTTTTGGTGCACTTTGATTAGGATAGCTAGAGGTGAGGTGGGGGAAATGGGATTAATGTAGTAAAGATTGTTTTCCTCCTTGGTCTCTGACAGTTGGCTCTGACACTGGGGTTACTCTGTGTTCTAATTGCTACTTTCCTGTTTGTGTAAGGTAAAAGAAAACTGATGAGTTACCTTGATTTTTTTTTTCTTTTATTTTCCTTCCAGTGTTCACTTGTAATCTCTGGATCCTCAAACCCATTAGCTACATGCATTTAAGTACAAATAGAAACCAGTTTTATTTCAGAGCTACTAAAAGGCGATCTGTGGCTTAGGATATTTGGGTCTGTGTTCTCCACAAAAGGAAAGATCCAAAGAGTACAATAGGATGTTGCCACATGCCCGTTTATCTTCCCATCTATTTAACATGAACCCAAAGTGATCTGGCCAATTGGATCTCGCAGGGTAATGGTTAATATTCTTTTCTATTGGCTTTCTCTAGAGAGAATTGTTAGTTCCTGAGTAATAGGATGTGTCAGTGTCCCCATTCCTCCACTTCCTTACCATCTGCCTCTGGCAATGGAAGGGAATACCCTGATAAGGACTGCTTCTTACAGCAGCTCCTCCTTTTGGCTATTAAAATTTATTTCTCAACCTCCCACCCCCCTCCTTTTTGGTGGGGCTGGCAGCAGACCATTTCTTCCGCCCCTTCTAACTTATATTACTTCTGAATCTAAGGTAAAAGGCAGATTCAGAATAAATCCAACTTGCTTATGGAGCTCAAATGTGGAATTAAGAACATACCGTTTATCATTCCTCATTCTTTGAACTATTGGGGACAAGTTTGTGTAAGTCCTCTAGAACACTTATTAATTGCTTTATTGAATGTAATGACTTCTGAAAACTTGTCCAAAAGCCAGTGAAGATTTCTTGAGAAAAATACCTAAAATTAAAAAGTGCTTTTTTATCCTGTTAAAATAATCACTCTAGGCCCCAAGAAATCAGTATCTACAGCGTGCCTTACAGGGGCCTCTGGTGATCATCACTGTCTTCTAGAAAGCTTTCTAGGAATCAGAAAGCAACAGTTGGCCATCTGGTTCATGCATGGACCATGCAAAGGCATTTTCGACACCTCCCCTCGCCCGCGTCTCTGTACCATCTCCTCTGTTAGATGCAGCTGCTCCCCCTCATTGTTCTGGGAGAGTGAGCAGGGAGCCCAGAGGAAGGGTCTTTTGAACCATAGCTACCATTCATTTCTTGTGGAAATTAATATCTGCAGCCTTTGTGCTAATTCCCTCCGATAATAATACAAAAGTGATCCCTTGGCTAGAGAACACATTTCTCCCTGAAGGTATGACATGGACACGGCCCACAGAATTTTGAAATTATTTTAAGAGATGCTTCATAGAAATAAAAGGTATTATAGGTAAGATTTTGTCTTTTCTTTTAATTTCTGAGGTCATTTTTACAGATTTATCTTTCAAAGAACTTGAGGTGGTGATCGTATTTCATAGAGAGCCTGTAGACTATTTGGTTACTTTATAGAAACAGCTCTGGCCTCTGAAGCAGTTTCCTCACCAGCATGACAGCAGGCCCCTTGTCTGCAGTGTCGCCTCCTGCAGTTGTTACCTGCGGTCCACCACAGTCCAGAAGCAGATGCTCCTCTTTCTGATGTACCCTCAAAAGGTCATTAGTAGCCTAATGCCTGGTCACAATGCCTGGTCCTCCACCTCCCTCCATTTCATTGCATAGCCACCTTATCTCATGTCATGACAAGGTGAGTATTATTAGTATAGGAGGACATTCTGAGGGAGAGACTCATTACAGTATAATTGTTCTATTTTATTGTTGTTAATCTCTATTGTACCTAATTTATAAATTAAACTTTACCACAGGGATATACTAATAGGAAAAATCATATATAGTATAGGGTTATCATCTGCAGTTTCAGACATCCACTAGCAAGGATAAGGGGGTGCTACTGAATGTCATCTAAAGCATCAGCAACACAGTACCAGAAAAATGTTTCTTCTCTGAAGGAATGAGATCTGCTATTAGTGATAACCTCCTGTTACACCATTCATCACTGAGGAGGTTCAGCTGTGGCACTGATTTGAGTTTAGGGTGCATATTTTTTCTATGAGGGTATCCTTTTCCTTATAAAGTATGGGTCACTATATAACCTTAACAAGTACATAGTTGAACATGTAGCTTGCCAGGGACGGTTCTTGTATGCCATCACGGTTGTAATTCTTATTCATATTCCTTATCCCCAGTTTACAGAGTGAGGAAACCTACTCAGAGCTTAATGACTTTTCAAAGGTCTTCTAGCACAGGAGAGGCCAAAGCAAGGTCGGGAATTTTTTCTGACTCCAAGTCTAGTGCTTTTTTTTCAGTTTTTACCATTTTTTGTGACCCTGCCAAGCAGGATTGGTAGGCTCCCTATAACTGGTTGTGCCAATTGTATACTGCAGGAGGGCAGCCAAGCTCACCGAACTGAAAGGGAGATTTTTCTTGATTTCTACAACGGTTCCATGTGGTCTAGTCTTAAGTTACTAGTCTTGCATGTTCTACAGAAACAAGAATGAAGATTATGTCCAGGGTTATTCTCAGCTTCTAATTATACCAGATGTTTTCCCCTTCAATATTGAATTGAGATGCCTTATGGCTAAAAAATTAGCAGTTACTGCTGGTACACATCTTTCAGTTAATGTGTCAGATAAGTATTTTTGCTTATAGACAAGGGTGAAGCAGTCTGACACAGGAACCTCCGAATGATTTGAAGGCAACACCTTGACACTTTCTCTCCTGTCATCTGTTCTTATTTTCCTTTTCCCCTATGCCATGAGTTGTAGGTGGGGGATGCCTCTAGGGGTTGTTTGGCCTCTCAGCACCCAAGAGGTCACCGACCTAGGAGAGTTGGCCAGGCACCACCATAGGCACATCTTGCTCAGAAGCTGACACGAGGGGACTTTCCAGTGAAAAACCTTCAGTATACTGGGGAATGTAGTTCATAGTAGCCTTGGCTATAGAACACCCATTTCTTAAAATTTAGCCACTATTTCTTAGTTATCTCATATATCCAGCTCCATAGAGTGGAAATGGTCATGTCACTAAAATATCAATCCATCCTGTCTTCCCTTTATTTACACAAGACTAGTTAGCCTCTGCCTGGCCTGCCATGTTCCTGTGAATTAAAACCATTGGGGTCCTCCACACGTTTATGTTTACACTGCAATAGCTCTAGCCAGGCGGCTGCTCCAACTGTAAGCTCAGGTTGGAAACGTTCTCAGGGATATTTGGAAGGCCTTGTAATATGTTAAAAAAGTAGCAACTGGCCTAACGTGATCCTTGCCCCCTCCTCACCTTCTTAGGGGAGACTTCACAGTAATCTTGCTCAGTGCGTTCTTTGCGCCCCTAGGAGAAATTGGTTAATCAGTGTATTATTATGAACAAAAGTCTCAACATTTTACTAAGTTTGTTCCAGGAATAAAAGGAAGTTGAAGTACAATCTTTCCTGTTACAGAGTCTGGAATAACTTGGTTCCTGGTTCCTAGTGAGACAATCGTATGACATAGCTTTGGTCCTTGGCCAGCACCAAAGGAAAAGATAGAATTATTTTTTTCCTAGACCTTTGTTTTCCCTGCTATCCTACTCTTTCGTTTCTCTTTTCCTTCACATTAAAAGTGCCTCTTCCTACCTTGTTCCTTGACGGAGTTCAACTTAGTATTGGTTCTAATGCTCTCTTCTCCTCTAAATTACTGGAATTAAATGGTAATTTTCTTAACATAAACATTTCACTTACGTGCACGTATTTCCTTTTTCTGTAAGAATTTCCATTAGCTCTCCTCAATAACAGCTTGATTTGGTCAATTTATTTATGTGGGCTATTTTGGCTCCTTTCCCCTCCTGTTAATCTGCCTTTTGGCCAGTCTACTCTTCATCAGGGGAAAGAAACCAAATTCAAATCTATGAATTGTACTGTTAGAAGCATGTTGGGAGAGAACACCTTGGGGGATAAAATAAAGTGAGATTTGAAGATAACTGATGGACTCCTCTTTCTATTCATACGGTAATCTTATGCCCTTGACTTCAGAAGGACTATTTCAGATAACCTTGTGGTCTTAAGAATACACTCTTTTGCTTTGCCTTCAGGTTCAGAAAACATGATCATAACATCCAAAGGACACTCCATATTCAGGTTCCCAGGCGACAATGAAATTGTTGGGGGGAAAAAGAAAGCAGGCTGTGGTGCTGTAACTCTTTCAGCAGCCCTGAGCATCTCTGCAGTTAGTGCTGGACCTTGAGTGGTGAGATCAGGAATGATGTGACCTGAAGAGACTGCATAGTCTACCTGACTTTCAGATATGACAAGCATCTCCTGGAGAAGAAAACTGTTTCTCTTTAAAGAGTTTCCATCGCTTAGTTCAAATATTTAAAAAAAAAATAGGATGAGGCACATCCTGTACTTAAATTAAAAATGAATTAAAATTTTTCAATTCTATTCATAAGGATTATGTTCCCAGTGTAAAATCCACCAACTTCCAGGATATGTGGCTGGGATTTACCCAAGACTGGAACACTTGCTTTTGATACAGTGGACTCTTCATAATGCTGGCTTGGGGACAAGAGGTGATCATTTTGCTTTATGGCTGGGAAGATCTAACTTGGCCTGGAAAAAATTCACACCAAAACTTGTGTATAAATTGCATTAAAATGGTGGTCTATTGTGTTAATTTAAGCAAAACAATGGCAGGCGAGGATGCTGTGAAAAGTATTATAAGAGATAGTCTGGGATGATTTGTTTAGCGCCCTTTTCTTTCCACTAGAGTTGACTA